TGTGTTTAACCTACATCATATAATTTAATTCTCATTATTAGCCTTTCTATCAGATTGTCATTACTGTTACTTTATAAATAGAGATCTTTGAAATCTTGTCCTTGAGATTCCTTCAGTGTGAGTGGACTAAGACTAAGCCCCATTTGGGAACTAAGACAACAGTTTGACTCTGAAGAATAAATAGTAAAAAAGGAGATCCTCATAAGGGCCGTCAAATAATTGAATCCAAGGTGCACCTTGAATTATTTATACATATTTAATGTCATCTTTTCTTTAAAAACCCTAAGTAGAGCTAATACCTCTTTAATATTACAAATAGCACTGTACATGTGAACACGTTAAAACTGAAAAATCCATGCAGAACAGTTATGGTGACATAAAAAGGCAAAGAACAAAATTAGGTAAATAAAAAAGGCAATATAAGCAGTCAAGAAACATACATTTGTCAATAGAAAAAAAAACAAAGTTTTGATTACTGCAGTAAAGGAAAAAAATGCCCTGTTATGGATAACTAAACTTTAAGAATTTTCTTCATCAGATGTGTTTCTTTTCTCTTCCTCATGCTACTGAATGATAACCCTGCCACCCTTTACATCCTACATATCCCTGACCCCATGAACCTAATCAAACATTAGGAGTGAGCCTGAAATGCACAGGGCCCATTGACCCAGCACTGCCACTAACTAACAAGAATACCTGATTCCTAACTAATAATTCCCTCATTGGTAAAACAGGACATAGTCTATAAATTACTATAATTAATTATAGATAATATACCTCTAAAATTTCCTATTTTTGTCACACAAAGCATTCAGACTACTTTACTTTTGTTAATTTTTCATAGAAATATAAACAAAAAAGACATACTGAGCTTACTATTTATATGAATTCCTATATATGCATGCACTATATATAGTCTTTATAGATATTTCATAATTTAAGTGCTGTAGATACAGTTAGGCAAAAAAAATTCCACATGAGGGTTGAACTAATTTCAGTATTAAGGTTACATTTTCTAGCTGTGTTATCGTGAGTATATCACTTCTGAGGTGCAAGCTTCGGTGAAATAATTACTGTGAACTTGCAATTAACACATGTAAAATACATCACAAAATATCTGTGAAAAATGAAAGTTCAAATGTTTGGCATTCTTATTAAGCCACCGAGTATTTTCTTAAGATATGGTATGCATACATTAATGTATACAAAGAACAAAAGAATATATTTTAAGTGATTTTTGAAAAAAATAATTTCATTAAGAAAGATTTCCTTTTTAAAATTATATATTACTTATTTTTCAAGCCATTCTATTCATCCAAATCACCTGCATCAGTAAGGAGTAAGTACTTTAAAAAGTAGTGATAGGAGCTGGGGATTTAGCTCAGTGGAGTCACCGCCTGCCTCGCAAGCACAAGGACCGGAGTTCGATCCCTGGTACCAAGTAGTGAGAAGATGGAAAGATAGACCCACAAGAGCCACAAGAATGGAGTTCAATTCAAATGTCAGGATAGAGTCAATGGAAGCATTAAGGTCATGATGAGCAGAAATAGCAAAGGTGTAAAGGGGAAGGGGAAGTGGAGGGTTAGGGAGAAAGAAAGATGGGAATGGAATTAACATGAGAAAAAGAAAAAATGAAAACAAAGTCTTTGTCGATAGGGAGGGGTGGAGGGGTTAAAGGGAGGGCAGGGGAATGGGGAAAAAATAAGAACCAAGATGGATTATGTAAAGGTACAAATTTCCAATGGTGAAAGTCATTACACTGTACACCTTAAATGTACCAATAAAATTAGTTAATTAAAATGTTTAAAAAGAGAGAATGGGTGCTTTGTCTATTGAGCTACCCAAGAAATACTCAAGCTACTGATAGCTGCTCATACATTCTACCAATTGGTCTTTCTCCTCACTTCATGAATATTTCATAAACCATAAGCTTTCCAATTCCCCAAATACAGAAATGGCCACTATGGACCTCTGGCAGTCCATTAATAGTCCACAGGCCACATATGGTGGCAATGAATGAACTACAAATGAGTTTCCCAAAGGACTATTGAACCATAAATGACTTTAAACGCTAAAACCAATTCCAAAGGAGGGGATCAAACACATTTTAAGCAAATGCAGCATCATTCAAATAAGTAAATAGTAGTATACACTGGAACACAAATTTGAATAAGCAAATTTCAGCTGTCTGATTAGAGTCTCTATGAAACTCCAAACCTCAGCAAATTCTTAAACTACTTTTTGCCAGTAACATGTACAATTTTGCTCTTAACACAATCCTCTCTTCTTGATTTTCTTCTCCCTTTTTACCTATCCCTTCCCCTCTTTTAATTTTAATGTGTTCTCAACTTTCAAAGTTGAACTTGATACTGAAGCCATTTAATGAAATTGACACTTCAAAGCCAGCTGCACTCTGGCAGAAAGTGGGACTCAGGAAGTTAGGTGAGACAATTCATTAATCACTGTCATGAGAACATAGATATTCTTCAAGTAAACTGCTATAAAGATATAAGTTACCATATATGTAGAGTCACAAATTTCAGAAGACTAAAACACATGATATGTATTTTGACTAATTTAATTCTAAAGATATTCTCGGTACTTGAATGATATGGTTGTATGCTCTTCACATACATTTCATCTCTGGACTTTGAATAATGACATATGTATGCAAGAAGGCCCCCAAAGGTCAAAGAGGAGTTACTACATCAGATGGACTTAGTCAGTGGAATAGATTCAATCAAGTGTTTATTGGTGATATCAACTGCTATAGGCAGGAAATATATTTAAGAGAGTAAACAGAAAATTATAGATTCTTTTTCCTTCTTTGGAAATCTGCAGAATAATTTTATTCTAATGAAGTGGAACTTTCAAGTATTTATAACATTTCATCATTCCACCAAGGCAGTAAGTTTCATCAATTTGCAAAAATGAAGAGAATTACATCCATTCATTATAAACACAGAAATATACAAATATCCATATTTAAACACATTTCCAAATCTAGAGTCTTAGTATGAGAGTGATCCTGAAGTTGCTAACGGTCTAAATAGGACAATGACTCTATTTTATAAATTCAACAGTATTAAATATCAGAAGTTGAAATAATACTGTTTTGGAACTCAAACTGCTAAGTCACTAATGATATAAAAATATGACCAATAACTTCCAGAGTACATGAGGAAAGAAAGAATAGGAATTTTTAAATTATAAAAATATAATATCAAGCTTAATATTTTTTAAAAAAGATTTTAAAAATATTAACATCAGGGCTAAGGATACGTTTCAGAGTTAGTGTTCTTGCTTAGCATATACAGGATTGTGGGTTTGATCCCCCGCATCACAAAAACAGAAAAGAATAAAATTTGAAATCATATTTAATAGAATTCAAGGGAAAAGAAACATAAATTTACTTTATGGCTAAATGCATGAACTGATATGGAAACAGAGCAAGTGTGAATCTTCACATTTTTAATGTTGCAGCAACATAATTTATATAACAAAGATATTTAAAATGCAAAAATATTACCCAATATGTGTAAGAGATCTGTTTGCATATTAGTATTTGAAAAATCATGATGACTAAAGGTGAATTAAAATAGTGAAATAAAAATGTTTCAAATAAAACTGATTTAATAACTAAAATGTAACTCCTTTCAAATTGCTATTAAACATTTATAAGTTTTTAGCAAATCTCAAGGCACCTTCCAAATAGTCACCACATTCAAATCTCTATAGGAATATTTATGAACAAACACAATATAATGAAAAATTAACAGTTACATAAATGAAAAAAGTCCCAGTGGGAAATTATATTATTCCCAAATATTTTTAGCTCAAAATAAAAAGCAACAATGTAATTACAGAATATTTAGCAAATAATTATATCATATATCGATATTATAAATTATGACCAGAGCTATAGGCAAAGAAAATCTCACTGCTATGAAGAAACTTTATATTAAATAAGGAACAGTGAAAATTAATAATAAAGAAACTCAAGAAGCTAGAAAAAGAGTAACAAAATTAACCTGTAAAAACATGGAATTGAAATAAAACCATAAATCAATTAGAAAACAGAAACATAAAATAAATTGAAGACTTGAATTTTTTAAAAGAAGCCATAAATGGAATTCTTTAATCAAACCTTCAACACAACAGAGCAAAACAAAATAAAATATGGATAAAAAGCAGAGAAAGTGTAAGTTTATATAAGAGGAATGGAATAAAGAATAAAACTGCATATTTGATCATTACTTTTTAAAACTAAAAATCATATGCAAAATGTACTTTGATAATCTTGAAAATCTTGATAAATGGATTAATTACAGGATTTATTTAGAGGAAAATACAATTTACTAAACTTAATGGTGAGCCATTCACTTCCCTACCTATTTATACACCATTTCTAGAGACTACAGCCTGGAGCCCTGTAGGAGCAGAGCTATAAATTATAAGGCTCTCACCAGGAAGTCATTAAGCTTTCTACATTCTCATAGCTATGCCCCTCGACAACAAGAGTTCCTGGATTTAGAGGTTCATCAATGTGGCTTGTTTTGTTTTGTTTTCTTCTTTAATATAAGGGCACAGATTTCACTCAGTCCTATGAGATAGTTCTAATAAGGGGCTAACTTAAAAAACACTTTTTATTTTGTTCAATGAACGGCAATAAAATGCCTTTCCAACCCACTCATAGACATCCACAAGTTCCTCTTAATAGTAGTATACATAAGCTCTTCCTTTTTCTGTGAAAGACATTTAATTCTGAAAGGAACTTAAAATAATAGTTTTACCTACATCCAATTCATTCAGAGCTGGTTAATATTTAAGCTATTAATCACTGTTTTAAAGTTAGCATTCATAAACACTTTCTTCTATTTGTTAGTACTGTTAAATTACACAGAAATTATCACTGATATTTCCAAATTAGCATTCACCCTGGCAATGCAGTTTCCCCCAAGAAGCTAAAATCTTAAACTGCAGAAGATTAAGTCAAATACCTGCAGTGGGGCTTCAGGCTGCTTCTCACTCAGCACTGGGGCAGCTGGAATTTCAGGAAAAGATTTTGATGTCTTCTTTTTGGCTTTTTGCATTTGAATATTGGTGAAATAGTTCACAGCAGCAAACTCAATAAGGGCCGAAAACACAAAAGCAAAGCAGACAGCTATGAACCAATCCATGGCAGTGGCATAGGACACTTTGGGCAAAGAATGCCGTGCGCTGATGCTTAGTGTGGTCATAGTGAGGACTGTGGTTATTCCTTGAAGGCAAAAGAGCAGAGACAAAATGGGTTACAACTATTTCGGTGCAAAGCAAACAAACAAATCCTGAAAGATTAGGTGGGATGAGGCTAAAAGAAATTAACAGTAACTCAAACAAAACCATCATCTTCCATGGAGGATTGGAGTCCTAGTGGATCAGTGAAATCAGCACAGGCTTAGAAGCAAAAGATGTATAGTTCACTTTGTGGCTCTTTTCATGACTAACTCGTCTTGTTTTGGATTGTTTGGAAAACCCATTAGAACTTCATCGATACCTACTGAGTTTACTATAAGAATTAAAAGTAGTATATGGCAAATAAGTACTGGAATCTGGGCCAATATACCTAAAAAATCAATACACACCTAGCGGGAAGAATGATTCAAGGAAGCAATGATTCTCATCCAGGACTGGGAAGCTGTGGACACTGGCCTCTTAAATTGAAGCATCAGAATTTCCTGGGTAAGCATGGCCCACCGCTATTGCGAATTACTGCCAGAAAAAGTACAAGTTACATATAAATATTTTTTCCTTTTTGGTACTGGAGATGGAACCCCGGGCCTTCTTACTGAACTACATCACCAGATCCCCCTTTCTAAAAAAATTTATTTTGAGATAGGGAAAATCACTAACTTTTTAGGTTAGACTGCTTCAGTTTCCCAGAGTGCTGGGATTACAGGCATACACCACCATGCCTAGCTAAATGTAAATATTATCTATTGAGGTAAAATAACAAATTTACTAATTGAGGAGACTGATTTGCTAAAACTATAAAAGTATATTCCTGGGAAAATAAATCTCCAGGGCAAACTGGCTTCTAAAAATGCAGGGCTTTTATCATTCATCAGTTTGTCCAGAAGAATGATATTTGCATTAAGAATAAAGGCACTTCTTTCCATCAGTAGGATTCCAAAGTATGACTGTCAGGAAAGTCCCCTCCTCAGCCTACAGAAGAGTAGTCACCATTCTCAACATTAAAAGCTCCACTTACCAGTGGAACTATAAAGTATTATGTGAGGATCCTAATATTTGTATAGTGGTCCTCTTTTTCATTTGTATGTTTGTCTAACACGTATTATCTACTTAAACCTGGAGATTCCTGTGAAATTTTCCTGTATACATTTGAAATCATTCTGGATAATGCCTAGGAAAGGTCCTGAAATCAACATACAAGGAGTCTGAGGATGATGATGATGGTGGTGATAGTGATGGTGATGATGAAGATGAAGGCAATGATGACAGCATCTAAACAGTAATTCCGATCCATGTCAGTCCCCAGCTGAAAAGTAAATAAGCCATGTTCAATGGAAGAGATATTGAGCTCATGCAGCAATAAAGCAAGGATCACATTTTAATTTAGGGTAAACAATATTATCTCAATATAGAATTCAGTTATATTTCACCTTATCATATTCTCTTACTGTTCCATATATGTAAGCCTAGCCAATATGATGATTTTTTGTTTTTTTGTTTGTTTTTTTGAGACAGGGTCTCACTATTTTTTTCAGGCTGTCCTTGAACTCACCAACCTGATTGAGGAGAGCCCCCCTGAGAGTAGACATGAATACAGATTTGGGATCACCATAATATTTTATATAGTACATGTCACAGGACAAATGCACAATAAATAAAAACTCATTTTTCCAGTTCTTCTCTACTCCATGGTCTCTGAAATCATCTTCTTTCAGATTCTGTCTGAAGTTTTAAATGCTTAGAGTATGAAAACCTGTAGCATCTGTATAGCACATGAGCTACAGCCTTTTTACATTCTATAAACTGTATAAAGAAATTTGAGCATTTGATTGCATTCTCTTTCATAACTTTGTGAATTGCTTAATCTCTTATTAATCTAAAATATTTTAAATAATCAACTATATACCTATCTAGGAAAATGCAATATTGTGAACTTATTGGACTTTGTTTCAGAAAGGCCTAGAATAATTAGGCAAGATACTAACCTCATGTTGGCAACAAGATATATGAATAACTCCTAAAATCACTTTGAAAAACTATAGCTACAAAGTTTAAAGATAAATCAAAATGCTTAATCTTATAATAATTTAAAAGTAATGAACTATTAAGAATTCAAATATGGTAAAAAAACTTTTTGAGCTATGTAAGAAGTATGTCTTTTAGTTTGGGTAATAAAATGATTTCTCCCTTGACTCAGAAGTAGTGGTCTTCTCTTACTGTTATCTGAAAAAAGTTCTCTTATTAATATGGAGTAAGCAGAATACTAATGCAATTACTGAGTAATGAAACAATAATTTCGTTCCAACTATTTGGAGGGCCAGAGCAATAGGTTCATGGCTTGAGTGATGCTATGGTCACTAATACAAAAAAAAAATGCTGGATGCATTGCTCCATTTCTTTCCTCTTTCATTGTTCTGGATCAGGTTGCTTTTAAAGTTTGTGGAAGCACCTTCCAGATATAGTTCCTATTCTATGACTGCAAAATTCAGAAAGTAGCTGATATAAACAACTGACTAAAGGCTTAAATATCACCACCTCTTTGGACATTAAAATGTCCTTTCTGCCCACTGTTCAAAGTTTTAAAAAGCATTAACAGGATAAGAGTGTACTTACAACTGGTTTGGCAGAACAAACACAAATGTGAAGTTGCAAACAGAAACCAAGCCTTCAGATAAGAATTCACGCTTCCTCTGAATCTAAAAAGATGGCTCATTTGCTTTAAATAGCTTAGATTACTCTACCTTGAAAATATTTCAAAGCCCCAATTTTTTTTTTTGAAGCATTCAAGTACTGATGCCAGTGCTTACATTTAGGATGCTGAAGATGAACTGTATCATCTGGCCTAGGAGCTGGGAGAAATTTGAAAGAGGAGGCTCAGACTGTACACAGAATGAATTTTTGGCTAGCCATTCCTAGAAAATCCAATAGTAATGATTTAGATATGCCAGTTGGCATTTGCTTGTGTCTAATGTTTTACCATACTAGGATAATTAAAAAAACTTAGCATCATACAAGTTTGGAGATAGAAGTCCTTTGCAAAGAATTTAGCACACTCTGCTTCTCAGATTTACACTGATGTTTTGGGGTTTTGATTTTGCATGGTCTGTACATTTCTAACCTAGTCAATTTCCTCCATATGAGGGAAAAGGGAAATAATTTGGGAAAAGGGAATTAATTCAGAAAAAGAAAAACTAGCTCAGAATTAGATCACCTAAACCTATTATGAAGTAGACTGCCAATGCCCTCAAACACTTCAAATTTTACTTATCTAGGAAAATACCATTCTAGACCCTCTATGAGCAGTTTAATAAACACCATTTAGATGCAACTGAAGTCTTGGAAGTCTTGTAATATTCCTAATCAATCAAAACCAATATTTTGGCACATGGGCAAAAACAGATGAATCTCAACTTTTAAATTGAAAACTATTCACAAAGTAGCTGTAGCGTACCCCATACACCCTCATCCAGCATCTCTGGAATTCTCCGCAAGTGCTCATGTTCCCTTAACTTGCTGTGAAGGCAGAGCGACAGAGTTTTCAATGCTAGAGAAACATTGTCATTTATGTGACTTGATATAAGTTTCTTAGTATCTTTGAGCCATTTCTCTTCCCTATACAAAATTAACAATCCCTACTTTGCTGAATTCTTATGAAAGCAAATGAGATGATTCCAATACTATACATAAAACTCTGTCATCATTGGGACCAATGTTAATATCCTTACTACATGCTATTTATTTTCTTTATCTTATTTGGATAGGAAACGAGGGGTGAGTATAGCGATAACCAATACTATTCCTTACTACACCACTGGAAATTTCTATTGTTTGGGAAAAAGTAAGACAGAATAGTAGCTTCCAGTGTGTAATCCAGTTGAGAAAGCATTCAATATTTATCAACTAATTACAATACTACTAAAATACTCAGGTTTTTCACATTATAGTCTCAAATAGTGATTCTCAGATGAGGGAGAGGGCAGCATGGAATAACACATTAATAACAGCCCTTTTATATGTTTTATGTTATTCCAAGCACTTTATTCTAATCAGCTCATTTGATCATCATAGGAATCCTATGAGTTAAGCGCAACCATTCATCCTTTTTTAACCTATGAAGCAACAGTTAGAAGTAACTCACTGAAAGTTCACAGCTACTACACAGTAGATTCTAAGGCTGGAACCAAAGTCTACACTTGGGTCACTATCATCTCGTTACCACATACAGCCATGATGGGTCAGTGTTTTCTATTCTAGCTCTTTAGGAACAGAGAAAGAAATGATAATGTGCATAAAAGTGATTTTTTTTATTATAAAGCCTAATAGAAATAGAAAGTTTAAACAATTTAATGATTATAGCTCCTGAAACAATGTTTTAGGTATTAAGTTAAGGGAGTTGAACCTGGTGCTCAGACTTAGCAGAGATTTATTGCCCAGTCAGGCTACTTTTGAACATCATGTGTAAGGACCCAAGATTAGTGCAAGTTTCTAAGGAGACAAAGAATATCAAGAATTTCAGTGTCTGGTAGTATGCACTAGATAGATAATACATATTTTCTTTTAAAAACCAAGGAAACCAAGTTGAATAAAATAAATCACCCCTACAGAAGAGAAGTATGGGAGAATAAATTACATATAATGCATGGACAGGTTTCCTGTACTGAGTAGCAAACATAGCTCTTTTAAACCCTCATATATCTATGAGGAAAAGATGTATTAACACAATTTAAAGATGGGGGAAATATGCCATAGATGCGAATTTTTCAGGCAGATCTGTTAGTATCCCATGCTTAGATATGTTATATCCTGTCTTTTATTTTCACACCTGTATTTAGTAGCTAAAATTTATTCCACTTGCAACTTGCAGTTATTTTTTAATTGTACCTCCTAAGTCTATGAAGTAGGTAATATCATTATTCCCACTCACGATCCTCTCTGCTTCTAACACTGACATTCTGTATGAGTTTCTCCAGCATGATTCAAATATCTACTTACGAGAGTTTAAGATTAAAGGGAGGGCAGCCATATATGGAGGAAATACCTCTGCATAAGAATTCCAGGTTTGTTGAGGTAATTAAGACATCCTTTTGGCAGTTCTCTAAAAGATGGAAAGGTAGGATAAAAGGCTCCAATCCCTCCCTCTGATCCCTTCTCAGTAGCCTCCCTGCAGATATTGTCTGATAAGGGATAACATAGCATGACTTTGTGCTACTAAATATAAAAGCAAACAGAAAGGGGTATCTCCTGTGAAGATCATACCTCCATTTCAGAGGAATTCTGATTATTTTCTTTCTTATCCCACCACTGAATGTTTTCATTACTCACAATAAAAAAGAATAGATAAAAATATTAAATTAAAAAATACAATTGTAAGTAATTTTGTGATATAAATGCATGAGTGATAAGTAAAAAACTTATTAACATCACAAAAACTTTAAGTGCATTTTGTTCTAGACTTCCAATGATTTAGAACACTATAAGAAGCTACAATAAAAATAAAAAGACAAAATGTTGGTTAAGAAAACAATGGTATGTAGAGAGAATATAATAATGAGCTTATAAACTACCACATAATGCCTTCCAATCTGATGCATTTGAAGCATTTCCATTTTGTTCCTCTTCACTAAAACCCAAGTTATTCTAAGACTTTCACATTCATTCAACCATGACTTTTATTTGTTTTATTTTAAGCTCTGAGTGCATTTCATTTTAACACCTAGTTATAATTTTAATTCAATTACATAGCTTTATGTTAGAAGCCCGAGAATATCACTGAAAGTGAAATTGTAGCCAGATTCAATCTTGGTCTTCACCTGATTGGTTCTCACCCAGGGAATGCTGATGTGGTCCCAAAGAGACAGATCGCCCATATCTCCCCAGGCACTAGTACTTTGCAATGGCTGATAAAAACAAAAGCTTGTATTATTCTTTGTCCAGTACAGTTTGATACATTGGTGTTTAATACATATTTTTTAAATTTTATTTGTTTATTTATTTATTTTGGGGGTACTGGGGATCGAACTCAGGTCCTTGAGCTTGCAAGGCAGGCAGTGGCACCACTGAGCTAAGTCTCTGGTCTCACTGTTTAATATTTTCTAGAAATGTCTAAGCCCTATTTCCTGAATTTTGATTCAAATATAATGTGACAATAACACCCAATAAATGAATTGCATTTACCAAATACAGTCCTAGCTGGAACTGATTCCTTATTTATCCAGAATGAAACTTGAGAGAGAATCACCGTCATAATGCATGGGATATACGTCTGAATCATAAAATAGCCCATCTTCCTTCTGAGATGGAAGTAAACCGTCATAACGACGTATTCACCTACCACAAAGACATGAAAAAGAATTAATTACTGGTTCTGCAGGCAATTATTCAATAGCTTCATGATCATATTTCAGAATAATGAACAAAATTCTATGCAAAGTAGTTTTATATTTTTCGCCTAAGACAAAGAATGGGAACTATACTGAGTCTCAACGGGGGGATGGGGCAGAGAAATGACACTGGAAATTATTCAGAAAAACCTTTTTCTTCCTTGTAGCCATTAAGCAATTAATAAATTGAATTATAACTTTAAAAAAGTGGTGGTAATGATTTCTTCTTTGAAGTTCTAATACTATTCAGCTTTTGTTTTCAACGGTTCTTGAGAGCAGAACTTAGACCTAACTTTTACAGAAAACCATTAGAAAAAATGGAAACACACAGATCTGAAAATGCTTTAATTTTGAAAACAAATGAAACAGAAATTTAATTTATATATAAAATATATGACTATATCCTTCATCCGTATTTCATATACATACATGCTTGGGAAAAAACGACTTAATTTTAAGAAGAGGGTTACCTTTATAAGAGCTATAACATAAACAAAAATAAAAAACAAACATATAACACAGAGGCATAACCTAAACAGCTGATAAACTGTGAAAGTTTTGATAACCATTGATAAATATTTTAATTTTATATAGGAAGAAATCATTTAGGAAGCAATATTCTCCTTCAGACTATGAAGCCATTTAAAAGACTCCAACAAACAAACAAAGAAACAAACACCTCAAATGCTCCAGATGTGTTCAACCCTACTTGCAGAATGAAAAATAAGTGCTTTTGAAAAAAATTTCTGGACTAATAAGAGGAAAAGTGTCCCATTAGAAGGCTACTGCATGGTTTTACAACTGATGTGAAGAGGGTGTCATGACCGGTGTTTGGAAGATAAAAATCGTCGAATTTAAAGGACACAAGGAGTGCTGTTGATTTCATGACAAAGTACATATATTAATACAAAGTTCTTAAGCAAAAGAGATAGTTGAAGTATAGTAAGAAGACCTTGTGCATTAACTTTATTTTTCATAATTAATTTTCCCCCACTTCAATTGTTAAACCAGTTTATGAGGTATAATTGGCACATAAAACTGTAAATATTTAATGTCTACACCTTGGTTAGTTTGTAGGTAAGTATTTATCTGTAAAACCATCACTACCATTTGTGCCATAAAGTTATCCATCACTTCCAAAAGTCTTCCCACTTTTTTGGGGGGGATAGAAATAACCAATACTTAACCTCTTAACAAATTTTTAAGTATTTAATATTGTATACTTAACAGTAGGCACATTCTCCAGGATATTTTAAAAGGCACCATTTAATGGACCAAAACATGAACTCTTATCAGACACTGAATATCTTTCAAAATTTGTTTTCTGGAAAGATAAAAGTTCCCATTAGAAGGCTGCTGTATAGAAAATGGATACATATTGACGTTATACTCCTAAGTGAAATAAATAAGTCACATATGTGTAAATAACGAATAGTTTCTCGGGTGTGAACAAACTATAATAGTACATAAAATCCTAATGAGATAACTGACAATGTGAAATAGGAAGAAAAGGGCTAAAGGTATAGTGAAAGTGGGAAGGGTAGGGGAAAGTAATAAGGGAAAGAAAAAAATAGGATAAAATGAAAAAATGGAAATAAAATGTTTGTAAATGGGGAGGGGAGGAGAGGGTGAAGGGAGGGCAGGGACAAGAGGAAAAAATGAGAACCAAGACCTGTCATGTAAAGGTACAAGGTCCCAATAATGAATGTTACTGTACTGTATACTTAAAATGTACTAATAGACTCAATGAGAAACAAAGGAAGGCTACTGTATAGTTTCATAATTGATGTGAATTTCCCAGCCTCCAGAACTGTGAGAAACACATTTCTGCTCTTTATTAAATACTCAGCATTCAACAGTTTGTTACAGTAGCACAAACAGACTAAAATAGTTGTTATCAAAAATCAGTATTTTCCTGGTGATACAGTACATTAGAACAGTTTTATAGTAAGCCATAAACAGCTGGTTTTTCCCACTTAATATGATAAAAACTAAATCCTATGATTCCATTCCCATTCTAAAGCTAAGAATCGTGGATAAAATCATTCACTTACCTGTACGGCAATTTTAGTGTCTACCCTCACTATATTTTCTAATTAACCTTTACATTTTACTTTTATTTTGAAAAAAAAATAAAGAATGTAACTTAAAAATGGGCAAGACACAGTTTTCAGAAAACAAAAAAAGCAGGCTCAGAGTTCTTGTCTTACACTTTTGTTGAGAATAGTTTTAATACATTTGATAACTGATTTTTGGTTCTAAATAAGAGAACCAGTTCTCTTCTCACATCTCACCAACTCAATTTATTTTGAACTAAAATAAGATTATAAATACAAATAAAGATATTTTTGAGCTGTGGTTTATGCATCAATTATATTTCTGGAATTTTTTGTTGTTGTTCTCTTGAAAATACTAGATATTTCAGTGAAAACGTTAGGCCAAAACGCTGTTATTGATGCCAAGAAGCATACTGCATTCAACCATTAAACATCTTACCTGTAATCGACTTGATAGTTTCACTCGACACCGTTTGCCCAATCAAGTCATACTGAACTAAGCTGGAAGACTCCTTCGGCACTTCCACTGATTTCTCAGGGCCTTTTGTCCAGGTATAAATCATCTCACTCTTTGGATATGCATCTGAGTGAGAGAAGAATATGTGGTTCGTCAGGGCTTCTCTTTTGTCAGCGTTGAGGATCGACACGTTAAAATAAACCACATGTTCAAGAGAGACGGAATAAATGAAAACAGCTTTCGTTATGATTCATTCAAACATGCTTACAATTTAGGAAACTATGTATTAAACAAATGGCTTTGCGATTCAGCAGGATTTATTGGTTCTGTGCCCAAAGAATTGGAGAAGAGATTAAAACTGAGGCATCCACAAGGCTACATATGCATCAAAGCTCTTGGACATGTTTCCATGCTAATAAGATGAGCCGCTGAAAAACAGATGTATTAAAGCCCCCAAACAGCACTGTCAAACTCCTACTGTTTTCATTTCTCTCCTCCAGTGCTTGACCAATACTGACTTCTTCCATCCTAAAACAACTATGCCATTTAGACAAGTACCAAATGCTCCCTCTAACAACACAACAAAATAAGAACCAATTTTACTGGTCGGGGAGCTCTCCGGGGGGTCACCGCTTTTAGATTCTGCCTTTGGGCAATACTCAGGCAGTTTGGTAGCCATTCTACAGTGACAACTGGCTATTCTGTTTGTAAAGCTCCCCAGGGAATATAATTACACAACCAGTTCCACTACCTTTAAACCCTTACAATCAGTACATTTCCCCTTCTGTCTTCAACAGATTCTTCCCAGTGGCAATTTAAGCCCATTTTCTATTATTTGGTGTTCAGTGCAAATGGAGACCAGCTGCTTGCTTACCAGTCTACCCAGAACAGATAGCTTGGCTCTCACACAATTAAGTTCCAAAGAACCCAAATGAATTGTGTCACTGTTCCCTCCAAACCTTCCTAAAATGGCTAGAACATAGGTGGTCCTCAGTGGAATTACTTAATTCTATAAAAGAAATCAATAGCTAGAGATTTTCTTTATAAACAACCTTGCAAAACAAACTACGAAGCCTGTGTTGTCATTTAATATTACACAGTTATGTGTCAGCGTTTATCTCCTGGGGTCTATTCACACGGTCATCTATTGAAAGACCTGTATACCATGTTCTTGTCTGTGATATTTTAAATCGGGTATCCTTATCTTAGCTCCCCTACCTTGCTAGAATAGCCGTTTTCTTTCCTAGCTTTTCTCACTCTGAATTATAAACAGAGTGCTTTTCTCTTCAGAAAAATTTAGGGTCCTTACTTGCCAAATGTGATGTGCCTCTGTTTTTAATTACCAATAAAAAACATCAGCTTCCAAAATATGAGTTCTTTGTTTTTATACAAAGCTTAATTGAGCACAAGCTATGTTCAAGTCACTCAGAAGAGTGCATTTTATGAGCACTAGAGAGAGAGAGCGAGTGAAAGGGGACAAGAAGGATTTCCTCCAGATAAGAACTGCCTTGTGTGAAATGTAATTGTTTAAGTACACTTGGGTTTTAATTGTGGCTCCAGTGAGATCATGCTTTCTGTCTATGTATTTTTTGTTTTTTTATCTTCTCTCATTAAATCATTGGTCAGGGGGCAAATGACTTTCTCTAGCTTCAAGTTAGCCCACTGAATATTGTGATTACTAGGGTTATAAAAAGAATGGTGACTGCAGATTCTCATTAAGTAAGGCAATGAGCAATGATAACAGCAGGCAACTGTTTCACAATCAGTACAACGATGAGTCTGAAGCAATAGTAAAAGCCAGAATCTATTTTTGGTAGATTCTGATTGAAGCAGACCTTAGAAGAGCAATCACATTTTGTTGCCATTTCAGAGAAGGGAGCTTGAGGAAAGGAATCTCATGTTTTTTCCTATCCATTCATCCCTTCCCTTTGTCTTCATCTTTATAAAATTTCTAAACGCATCTACTTCCCACTTACTCTTTTGTCATGATCCTAGTCTGAATCACTGCCATCTTTGCTTGTACTGAAACGACAGGCTCCAACATTCCTCTACTTTATTTCCTGCCTATCTACAACCCATTTTCCACTGAAAGGCTAACGTGAAATCAGGTAACTTTAATCAAGGAGGGTCACACCCCTTTATAAAAGCTTTCAAAGCCTTTCCTCGGCTTTTAGATAAATCCAACTTCATCGATGTGATCTGTGCAGGATTACACTCTCTCTCATCTCCACTTTCTACTACACTTTGCTCAGGCTTCACCCCCTTAACAGCACAACTCATGTTGTTCTCACCTATATCATGTAAGAAAGTCAGGCGCCTTCTTCGGCCTTTTTCCAGACCTGCTATAAAGGTCTCTACTTACAAAAGAAACTAACATTGGCAAAAAAGAAAACATTGTTTGCACTTTCTATAATACATCATCAAAACATACAGCTCAGATGTCCCTAAATTTTACCACTGACTACTAATGTGTTAATTATGACTCAGCTACTCAGGTTTTCTGTACAGGCATGTTTTTGTTTCTAGATGGGGGGTTACTTTTTCATTTTAAAGTGTTAGTCAATAAATAGTCTCCTAAACATCACTCCTTGGATGATTTTTGTCTTGAATAATGACATTTATGTTGGATTATGAAAAATCATACATATATATATAAACATCATCCTCATGAAGTAATCAGAAATTTGAACAAAACTTTTATTATAACTTACAACTCCCAAATTTCAGAGGGCACGCATGACCATCCATGGGAAAATCCACCAATCTCATAGGACACTCCGCACTTATAGTGAGTCTGGGATGGAAAAATTCAATTAAATAAAATCAACCCTTTATTGAAATAAATTTTATAGATCCTCAAAAGGGGAGGGACAGAATGAAGGAAGAAAGACAAAGAGGGAGCTAGAAGGGGAAAAGAAGAGCAGAAAGGGAAAAAAGCATAAGACAGAAAAAAATTATTACCTCATTGTGTATAAAATAGTACCATTTCTCATAATTCTAAAAAGTTTATTTGGAGCTGTCATATTATGTGAAACAGATTTCTTTCCATTCCTGAAGAAGGTATCAGGGGTCCAAACTTTCGTTACCATCATATTATTCAATCTCAAAATTTCAATAGGCCCATCATATTTTAGTCTTTTGTCAATCCATGTCTGTCTGAAGAACACATCCATTGTATATTCCTAGGAAAATTAATGTATGACCTATTCAAATCACAGATGACCACGTTTATAAAGTAGAAAATATATTAAATTCCAGCCTTTTTCCTACTCAGAAAAAAAAAACACTACTCCAAATAAAATGAATAGAAACAGAAATGATCTCAGATCAATAGAGCAAAAAGATGTACATTCATAAAAATAAATTACCACAAAATTAAACATTCAAAAATAATTACTGCAATTTAAAACAACTGCCAGCACCAGGTAATTATAGTAGTGCTTTACTTTAGACCAGATAGGAAAAATCAGTGAATGATAAATTACATAATGATAAAATTGTAGGCATGTCTTAAGATGAAATAAGATGTTTAAAAGGAAAATGTTGTTTGCACAGTTTATTAAAGGTAATGAAATAACCCAAGATTTCAAACCATTAGGATCATAGGGTCAAGAAAAATAATAGGTTCTCCTGTCATTTTAAATAAAAATATTTAATATAGGACAACACACCTGGATGAGTGAAATCTTCCTGACCAGATTTTGGTGATCTAAACTCTTTAAGCACAAGAGAGGGAAGAAGGGAAGGAAAAGGGTAGGAGGTGTGCAGAAGCAGTTGGGCCAACAGGAAGTGCCACATGGGATTAGGGTTGTGATACTGTGTGTGCACTTACAGTATAAACCAAAACTAATTATAATTTCTAATTTTCTACTCAGTAGTTTTCTAAAGAAAAATGGTACATCCAAAATTATGCTATGGATCCAGTAACAGGAAAGTTTCTTTTTGTTGCGAATGACTCTAAATCAACAAATACTCAAATGTTAGAGAGCTGAATTGCAAATTCAGCTTTACTTCTTATACACTTTTAAGTTTAATCTGGCCATTCTTTGATTTCCCAAATTTGTGTGATTAGCAAAAAAATAAGTATTAATTGGCTCTCCTCTGGCACATTTACCAAAATACTTACCATTTCAACATCAGAAACAGGTCCAAAGCTGGTGACATATATGTCAGTTTTCACTTCTGTGACAGGACCTTGTAAAATTAAAGCAAAAAAGTGTGAAAAAATAATTGCAATTTTACAGCCTAGGAGAGTTAGGTAATTAGAATAAATACAGATAGAAATAGCAGGTTTTTACAAGCATGTTAAACTTTCAGTGAAGTAATACCTCTCTAAAAAGAGTCTAGACCAAATTACAAACAAACCAGGAAACATTGTTTGCTTAAAGGGCAAAAAGAAACTCCGATTATTTACCAGGATTCAAAAATACATCATCCCTGGGCGCTCCTACAATAGGCGGTGTAGAGACACAAAAGCTTATAGCCTTTGTGATTTTTTTTTATAACCTATCATCTGATTGTCCTCTATGAAGAAGTGAGCTATTAAAAAAGGAAACATGGCAAAGCAAAGAGGAGAAAAACCATAATGACAACAAGGAATGTATCATTGGAGAATTGGGGATTCTAGTAAATAACTTTAAAAAATTATTCATGTCACCTTTAACAATAGGCACAACATCCACTGTTGATTGGGGTTACAAAACAGCTATCCTAAAAGACACCCTCCTTCATCCTCTGCCCATGGATATGTTATGTGATCTTTAACAAATTGCTAAAGCTCTCAATAGCAACGACTGCATCTGTCAGCAGAGATATGGATCTAACTGAACACAGTGACTCTCATGGAAGTACGTCCTCCATATTAGCTTCCCTTTTAGTCTCATAGTAGCCAGGACTCAGATTCTCTCTTATATCTAAGTAAAACTGGTTTATGAATAAGTATCTGGGTTTGGGGGCAGAGGGAAAGGTGAAATCATGATGATAATATGGCTCACAGATTTTAGACAAAGGAATATTACTACAATCTGGGTTCAGCCTGTTTAAAAGCTGGAATTCTGGAGTTCAAATTTGCTCCAATACCTTCTGGTTGTATGACTTTGGCCAGATCATGTATCTCCTTAGGTAAAGATTTTAATGAGTACTGAAAGTTTTAAATGAGATAAGAGACATAAATCACTTTTGCTAGTCACTAGAATATGATATGTTCAACAATGATAGAAGCTGTTCATAGAGATAGTATAATACGTGATTACTAAAGGAAAATTGAGAATTGTTGTTCCCCTTGGACAAGGTTTCCTTATTTAAGGAAGTGTAAAACTGTAGGGCCTGAGGATATATACTTCATAACTGGAAACAACAACATACGCTATCATGATGCAATATATCCCTTGGAAATAAGTTGGAAAATTGGATTTATGCCCAAAAAGAGAAAAAGTAATTGGTATCACTTACTGCTCCGGGTCTAAAGTTAGTCTCATAAAAATGAATCCAAATGTTATTCTCTCTACAGCATGAAGATTGAGCCACAAAAAGATAGAAGGAGGGAGGATGAGAAAATTCCTTATTGAATAAATATCCTAAGAAAAATACAGCCTTCAGAAGTATAGTGAGAGAAAGTGTAAATCATGCCTACTTTTCATGGGCTTTACTTTTTAAAAATTCCATCTTCAGCCGGGCATGGTGGCACATGCCTATAATCCCAGCACTCGGGAGGCTGAGGCAGGAGGATCTCTGTGAGTTTGAGACCAGCCTGGGCTACATAGTGAGTTCAGGTCAGTCTCAATTAAATAGTGAGACCTTGTATCAATGAAAACAAAAATTACATCTTCAGAGAGCAGAGAACTTAAATAAGCTATTATTTGAATAAAGAATTGGAAAAAAAAAGAGGTAGCAATAACCTCACTAAAGCCAAATTGTTCTGGAAATGGGTAATCCAAGAAGCAGGTAATGTGTATTAAACATTGGAAGACAGCAGTTTTATTTGAACAGGTTCAAATGTGGAAGATGTCACTGTGCTAGTTCCTTAAGGACAAAAAAGCAGACGTAACCATGTCACTGCAAGTCAGGCAAGGGGACACATGTGACCCAACAATTAAGATTGATCACATCCTCGCAACTGGACAGGATTCCTGAGAAACCAAAAGTTACTTTGAAAATCAGATTAGGGCAGTAGTCCTAAAACTCTAACTATCTCTGTGTCACCTGGAGGTTTACTAAGCACAGAGTGTTGGACCAGGCTCCCAGACTGGCTGACTCAGTAGGTACAAGGAGGAGCCAGCCAATTTGCATTTTTGTCAAATTCTGATGTGTGACTATTGAGTTTTCTATCACATATAGACACAGACTCAGTTCTTCTGTTTTTTAAAATACAGCACTGTGTCCTATAACATATTGACACCATAGATGTTCCAAGAAAGTGAGGTGAATCGAAGGGAATGAGGAATTAGACAATATTTATAAATTTACTGTAAGGTGTGCGGTATATGCTAATTCTTAGTTATAATCATTCCATGAAAAGATTAGGTATTTTTAAATTCTTGCATAACATACTACTCTTACAACAATTCTTGAAAAATGTTTTGTGTTCAGAATTATAGCCTCAGCATTTGTGACATTCTTCAGTATCAGATGTAATTTATGGGTCGCTGAAATTGAGTGAGATCCTAAAAGTTTAAGACCTGTGAAAGGATTCCACTTGGATTCTCATTCAATAAACACTTGAGGACCAGCTACATGGCAGGTGCCATGCTAGCCTCGGTGCTGCTATGGTAAATGAGATTGGTGAGGATAAATAGTAAAGAAAAAAAATAACAGAATGCTGTAATGGGAGGAGAGCTGTTAAGAGAGGGGCAGACTGAGAAGGCCACAGTAGAGTTATGCTTAGTTTCTCCTTCAAAGCCATGACCCACTGGATACGCATGAGCTCCTGGAAGGGCCAGTAGAATTGGGTCCCAGGTGGGAAGACCTGCAAGGGTCAACGTTTAAGGACAGGGAAAGGCTCTTTGTACCTAAGAAGTAGAAAAGAGGCCAGCGAGGTTGAAGCAAAGCAAAGGAGGAGAGAATAAGAAATGAAAGCCACAGAGAGAATAAAGACCTGGATGTTGTAGACAGAACTTCTACCCCAGAGCCCATATTCTGAAAAGTGGCATCTTTTAAGCAAAGTATTTATAGTTGCTTTATGTCATGGTGTCTGCTGTTAAAGCTACATGAAAAAGAGCTTGGAGAAATGCCAGTGAAGGATGGGGAGATGCATAAGGAGGCTGTTATGGGATAAATTATGTTCCCAAACTCACATGCTGAAGTCTTAAGTCTCAATGCATGAAATGTGACCATATTGGGAGATAGGCCCTATAAATAGAGACCACAACACTAAAATGAAGTCAATGGACTGGGTTCTAATCCAATATCATTGCTGTCTTTATCAAAAGAGGAGATAGAACACAGACACACACCTAGGAAACACCATGTAAAGATCCAGAAAGGTGATTGTCTCTCTGAGCTGAGGAGAAAGGATTTAGAAAAATCCTCTTGTTGACTCCCTGATACCTCCAGAATTGTGGGAAAGAAATTATGCTGCTTAAGCCAGTTGGTCTGGGATACTTTGTTGTGGCATCCTAGCAAGTGGGACAGAGGTTATTTTTTCTTACTTTTTTTTTTAACCTGGGTTTTCTTTCTTTGATATTTAAGTTAGCTCTGATTTTGCTTGTAGAATGTAGTAAAACTTTCAATTTGTATTCTATAAGCATTCAGAGGTCACCAGGGGGTTAAAGTAAGGAAATGATATGATTTTTCCCCCAAATCACCTGGCAGGTGTGTATGGACAATAAATTGTAGGGTGGCTAGAGCAGAGAAGGGCTCTTAGGAGAGGGTGCTGTCCTAGGCAAGCTGTCAGACGACGGTAATTTGAATCAGGGAGAAAGCAGTGGGGATGGATAGGGGAGCCTATGTGTGTAGCTGCTTTTAGGAGATCGTATTTTTCCAAAGTACAATCAGCAGAAATATAATAATTACTATTTATTGAAGATCCATGATGTGCCAAGTGGAACACTGAGGTCTTGTGATGCACTGTTTCATTTAAACCTCACCTCCAGAGGTGCTTTCATCATGAAAAGTTTTTGGATCTAGAAACAGCTCATAGAGGCTAAATATTATATAACAAAGCCAGAATTCTAATGCCCTTGCATTGTTCTCCAATCTGTATTCTAACTTTACTACACTATATTGTGTCACAAGCTAATAAATTAATAGTTAATATTCAACTAAATGTGAAATTTTATATCTAGTATTTAACATGGTATACCTATGTTTTCTGTTTTGTTCATGAATTTTTTCTGGACTATATTCCTACATCACTTTCTAAGATTTCCTCTTAATCTCCCTTCAACCTGAGTAAGCAGCCTTTTAACTTGTAACAGCAAAGATAAAATCTGTATCCTCTTTGAAGTCCCAAACTAGCACAGTGCTTTGCACAAACTAGGTATTGAACAACTATATATTTCATTACATATACAATATCACCTCAGTAGTGATTTTAAACTCCCTCAAAAAAATTAATATTCATTTGCTGCATCAGTTAAGCTAAAAATATATCTTAAAAGAGCAGAAATAGTCTTATTTATATTTGTATTCTCTCATAGAACCAATCCCAAGCCTTAAATGTAATAGGTTACTGATAAATCAGTTGTCAATGAATAATGGTCTCTATGCAATTAAAAATAAGTCTTAGAGATGCTTCCTGTAAAACTACTATTTAGGATGTTCAAATCAACCTTACTAAGAGCATAATTACATAGAAACCAGATCATTTTGAGCTTGGAAAGACTTCTTCCTATAATTTTACATGCATGCATGTATCATCAAAGACATCTTTTATTACAAAATTCTTCTTCTTTGGCAATAGGGAAATTGTTTTTATTCCTTTTTTTTCTTTTACCTTCTTTTTAGGGGAGGAGAGAATGTTTTAATCCCCCAAACGTGGCAGATAATCTGTAAGGCAAATAAGGTGATCTTCAACAACTCTTTGAAAGAAAAGGCCAAGACCAACAAGATCAAAAGCAAATAAATATTCTCATATGGTTTTGATTTCAACTTGCTGGGAAAGTGGGAAGGCAATCAATCATGTATCAGATAATTGTCCACTCTTACTTTAACAGTCAAACACATGGTTAAAAGATATGATTATTCAATTTCATCTT